TATATATGTAAATGTAACTTGCTAGTCTTTGCTGAGTGATTTTTAAACAAACCCGTGGGTTATCAAATGACAGCTTCTGGCTCCTGTTTACAGCTAGGTGACACGTTTGCTGAACTATGTAGGAAAAAAATCCAAATCCGGTCTCTTTATTCTCTCAGTTGGCATAAATATCTCAACAGAGCAGAACAGGAGTTCTGCACTGGACACCTGTAGAGTCTGATTGGAATGCTTCCATTCCTAAGTTCTTTGCACCAGAATAAACAAGTTTACAATGATTAGATGTAGTTTATACATTATTGGTCACCCTTGAGAAACCCTCAAGATAAGCTCACACCATTTCTTTTTACTGCAGCAGGTAGTTCTGATGTTTCATATTCAGGAAGAAGTGTATCTATTTACAGGAGAATTAGACTGTATCACTGACATCACTGGAGTGGAATTAGGTTGTTCACTCAACCCGTGCAAGATGGCAAGTGACCAACTATTTTCAGGTTACTCAACACGAGGAACACTGTGAAATGACAAACAAGTGGTGATGCTGGTGATAGGGAGTTGGTTTTCATTTACCATAATTTCTCAGCTAGGTACCAAGGACTAGATGAAAAACTTCGGTGTCCTGGTAATACTTACTTTGCATGATTATACGCTTCAATCTCTTCCAGCAATACACTGTCATTCAAAGAGAACGGCCTTGTCTTTGCCAAGATTTTAAGTACTACTCCTGCTTCGGAGCCAACAAATATGACTGTGTAGTTCTGGTAGGGTCCAGCAGCGTGGTCTACAGCAATTGCTGTCAATCTGTATCTATCAAGAGCAAAAAGGCACATCACTAACAGCACACTTGCTTGTTTTCCTTTTCACATGCGTTATTTTTGAACAGTGTCATACCTGACACGTGTTTTGGTAAACCAGGGCTCCTCAATGACTGAGGGAACAGCTGAATCCATCAGAGGATGAGATTTGATGAAGGACAGGGTTTCGTCTGGGAAATCAATGGAGGTTTTGTAAGCCTCTGCTAGGCCATGTTTTGCACAGCAGCCAGGTCTGAAAGGAGAACAACATTGTTTTCCTCTTGGAATTTTGGTTAATGAGAGAAGGCAACCTGCTAATGAGCATCCTTATGGCTGAAGTGTTAAGCTCTGCTTTGGTTCTCACCTGACAAGACACTCAGGAGTGCAGCTGATTTAAGGTGGCTCTTTACAAAAAGGACAATATTACGGCATCATGAGTAAGAACCTTTTACCTTGGCTTTGGTACTTTGTCTTCAGGTACAGCTGTCCAAACAGAGTCAGGAGTCTTTTGTTCTTTAAATCTCCCTTTGAAGACTTTCTCAATATCATCCATGCTGAAAGCACACACTGCTGACCCAGGGATGCTGTAAAATTAGACAAATAGTTGCAAGAGCTCAGATGACAATGGCACCAATCTCAGGGTAAGAGAGAACCAGAGAGCTACCTTTGATGTCAGGCTGCTCATCGCTCACCTGTTAAGCTGTGTGGTGAATACACCGACAACCGTGGGGACTCCATTGATTTCTATTATGTCTGTGATAGACTGCAGAACATCAAAGTAGAAGAATGAATCCCCAGGAACTGAGCAGTTGAGCCGAGCTTTCAGGAAGGATGTCCAGTGTTTCTCCAGGACTCTTTGGGACCCCCCCATGTCATTTTTGCATATTCGTGCCACACGGGAATACACAGCCTGTCCAGGGCAAAAACAAAAAAAAGGGAAAAGGGAGAAAAGCTTGAGAGAAGCAAGGAAAACAGTGCTTGTTGCTGAGCTGTTAATAAACCAAAGATAATTTTGTTAACAAGAAGCTGCCATTTATCTGCACAGAAAGGATGTTTAACTCGTCATGCACAGGCATCTTAATGTATCACCAAACAAATGCAGCTCTGCAGCTTTTTTTCCCTTTCAAAAATCATATTGTTCGTGAGACTTAAAGACTTTGATTAACCATGTGTAAAGGATTTAATAAATTATAGAATATCCTTCCATGGTGAGGCATGTGTATTATACTCTGTACTGCCATGACTGAATTATTCAATATGCAGGGACATTAGAGCAACGTCTCTGAAACTTCTTTTGTACTGTTTTCTTTTGTTTCTTTAATAAGCATGAAAAAAAAAAAAAACCCAACCACCCCAACCCTTGGATTTTCCATTACTTGCAACAAGTGTTAAGGCAGCAGCAACACTAGAAGATACCTGCCATGATCTTGCCTACCAGTGAGGCAGACAGAACAGAAACAACTTTTTGGTTAAGAATACACTCTTGTATTTATTTTCCCCACACTCCCTTAAATTATAATGATGGGAAAACTGTGGACTTTGTACTAGTCTCTATTTCATATTGTAATCTGTGCTTGTTACTGATTTCATATTGTAATCTGTTACTTGCTACTTTAGAATGGCCTCATCCTGCTACAACTCACAGCTACCTGACAGCTCGCTGTGACAATACCCACCTTGCCTAAATTATTGTGCTCTACAGCAATTTCTCGGAAGAAGAAGTAAACATAGTTCCCGTACTCTATGGCATGGAGGAAGTGTGGTTCTGTAAGAAAGAGCAAGGAGAAAGTTACCCCAAGGAAATTCTCAATGGACATATAACACTGACTATGCTGTGTGACTTGGCAGCTTCTCCACAGCTCCGTACCAGCTAATATGAGCCTCAGCGTTCCAGACACTTCAGGATATACAAATATGGGTGCACTAGAGCTTAAATGGACTTGAAGTCTTTAATGTTGGCTAATGGACTGTAAAAAGGGCTCACAGAAATTGCATTTCAGCTGAGGTATTTTGTTACTGCAGATTCATTCATTGATGTATTTAAGAAGAATTTGGCTTCATTTGTATTAAACTGCTTTTTTATTGTAATCACACTCGACTGAAAGCTGCATTACGCTGACATTGTAACATACGTGTAAAGCACACTGACCCTCTGCACCACTGAAGTGACATTTGCCACGTGTATAGGGAAAATACTCCCTCAAATTACCTTTTATCCATTTGGAATCGTACTTTATTGTTCTTAGGGCAGATCCATCCCCCATGCTGCGATAAATAACAGCATCACTTGCCAGGAAATCTGCTACTGTTGCCGAATACAATTTTCCATCTAAAACAGAAGTTGAGAACATGGTATTAAGAGGCCCTCCATAATCTACAGAATTCTGACTAGCCAGTATTTTTTCCCATTTCTTTACTGCCACTCTTCCCCAAATTGCTGTAACCTATTTATTAGCAGGTCAGCTTCTAATCCTTTGGAGGCCCTGTAAAAAAATTTGAGAGGGGCACCATGACACCTTTAGCTTTCCTGTGCTCACTTTAAAAGCTCTCTGTCTCCTTTGGTGTCATTAATCATTTAGACTCATTACAAGCAAAAGTTCTTACCAGCAAAGAGGGCGACATTGGTTTGTCTGGCATCAAATGGGCATCTTGCCAAACCACTAATTTCCTCCCCATCATACTCCAAGGTATTCAGCTAGAGAAGAAAAATAAATGCGTGATAGTATCATTTCTATTTTGTACACTGGCACAATAGCATAACATTGTTTTTTTCACCACACTTAATTCAGCACATTGGCTTCTGTCTGTTTTTATTTCACCTTGAAGCACTCTCCAGTCACATTGGATGTACTTGCTATAGGACAGTTAGTGCAAACAAACCCAGTCATGGATTAATGATGGTTTCAATATTCTTACCCGATAGTATCTGCACATAGGGTTAAATGCATTTGTTCCACAGACAAACACCATCTCATCATTTCTTGGAACAAACACTTTAATGAAGTTATGGCATTCATCCTGAAAAGAAAGTAAGATGTATTAATTGCAGACTCCACAGTACATATTAGCATTGTTTCTCTATAATGTTATATGCTAAACTTACTTTATGTTTGCCTTTCATAGCACAGTTCTCTCGGTCCTGCTGCCTGGACCTCCATGTTAATTTCTGTTGAAGCAAGCCAGGAAAGAACATTTGATTTCCTTTCCACAAAAAAGGAAGTACATCCAAAGGAAATACAGCTCCTGTATCTACTCACCTTGCTTGGGCTAACTTCCGATTTTGGAACTTCGTTTAAGTTTACAGTGTAAACTTGGTCCCTGTTTGCAGAAAGTATAAAGACACAAGTAAATTCATTAATTCACCGGCCTTGTTTTTGATACACTACCTCTATTTTAGAGTGTTTTGTTAGACCAGAAACTTTACAAAATGTTTATGGATTTTCTGTGTTTAATACCAATTGGAGAAGGTTGGTCATGGGCAACTCTGGGTGGCTTTGATTTTTATTGGTGTGGTCCTCAGATAGCACCTCGGTGTCCAGTCATCCACCAATGTCTTTCCATTCTGTTGAAGACTAACCCAGACTGTAAATACTCAAATGTGCTATCCTCACTTCCTACATCCCAATGTGTCAGTTCAAGTTTAAAATGATCAGGAGAGGTTTTCGTCAGGGCAGTAATATAAAAGAGGGAAATAGAGTATTTGATCATTGGTTTTAGCATAACTACAATAACTGCAGCCTTCAAATCCAATTTTCATGCCCTGGCCGTAGATATGGTGTATTTCTCTGGGAAGTCCTTCCCCAGTTCTAATTTTTATCTTATTCTGCAGACTTTTCTAAATGAATTTTACACATAAATGCAAAACCAGAAGAGAAAAGAATTTTAATCTAATGAACTGAGTGAAGGAAAATTACCTGCCAGCGATATAAAGTGTGTCTCGAATTTTCAACATCAGTTGGAAGTCCAGCCTGTGCTGAGATTCATTGCCTGAAGGGCGTCCTCTAAATACTGGATATTGCCTTGAATCTGCAAGTAAAAATGGGCTACACCATCACTCAGGATTATAGAGCTAAAGAATCAATATATGGCATTGATTAGCTGTATATACTAGGTGTAGAAGGGTTTAAACTAAATTCCTTGAGTAATGTCTTGAATATAAATGAGAAAAAGATGGCTAATGTCAGCAAATGTTCTTTTTCCTGAAGTTATTGCTGTATTTCTGATTGCTTTTTAAAGAAAATGATTAAGTGTTCTATTAAAGATACAAGCCAGTAAACACATTGCAATTTGAAAGGAAGCAGACTTCTTTTTCTAACTTCCCAAGTAAAAATCCCAAACATTAAAACCTTTCCCATAGTGGCTAGCACCATTTTCAGGGTACTTACAGTGGTAGTCAACAACATTAATAGGGTCCTCATCTTCAGGGAAGCTGACAGCCCGGCACTGGGACAGACTCATCAGCATCATGGAGGCACAAAGCAGAGGAAGCCTCATGGCTGGTGGAAGATGAGTACTACCTTTGTGGCAACACCGTTTAACTACCTGCAAAACAGGAACATGGCAATGGATTTCAGCAGCACGGCACAGTGCATGTGACTTCCTACTGCAGAAGAAGAGTTTTTTCATTTGTGTTTGAGCACTGACAGCAGTGGACTAAATTGGTGCTTACGAAAGGCTCCTCTATGTACACTGATGGAAAACTACTGCGTGACATCGCCCTGCTCAAAGCTGCTCTGAAACATATTGATGTTTGCTAATTTTTAGCTGGATTTACAGGCATTTCCGAAGAAGCTGACGACTGTCAGCCCATTTAATTCACAGGAATCACCAACAGAACATGCAGGCTGCTGACCTGGCAAAAAAAATTGTCAAACTTGGGATTAGAGTTTTAATTAAACTGCAATCTCTTTCCATCCCCTCTATCACTGAGTGTCATCCAATAAAGCCCTTTCCCCATAAAATACCTAAATCTTATCCACAAAACGTCATGACACACACAATCTGTTACAACATCCATGCCATGTTTTAGAATTATTACTTGTTTCCAGGCAGTGCCATCATAATACTAAACCTAAAACGCTCATGGCGAGAGACCTCACGTCTAGGACCAGACACTGAATGCTTTGACTTGTGCAGTGATTTACACATATGCAAAGTTAATGCAAAACTGCTGCCTCTGCAGCGTGACAGTGCTTGTCACGTGCCTTGCAAGGGTGGCAAGAGCCTCCAATGGGGCTGAACTGGGTTCCCAAGATGCCACTTTTAGTCTATTTATTACTGTAGAAATCTAGCAACTTCTGAGACTTTCATGTCTATGGATTATACAGCACATATTATGATAGCACCACAACATTATACAACAAAGCTTTTTAGAGGGGAAGGGAAACGTAACTTCTCCAATTAAACCGCAGGGATATTTTAGTGAGCAGAATGTAACTACTCAAGTTGCAATTTGGGTAGGATGCAAGAAAACGCATCTCAAAGTGAAATGCAATCCTTAATGACCACAACTGGTCTGGGCAGGGGTCATATTTCTCATTAGAAACCTGGCAAATGTAGTACTGTTCCCTCCTCCAACCTTTTGGAAGCATTCATTCTGCCCTGATTCACAGGTCAGAGCTTTGAGTCACCAGCTCAATGCCTTGCAGTTGCTGAAATTGGTTATTAAACTCTTGGTCTAAACAGAAACAAAGAAGCCTTTCCATTTGAATGTTTCAAGAACGGCTGTGAGATGTAGATGTTGCCAGCACAAAGTGCCAGGCCTGATCCAGCAAAGCATGTAAGTACTAATCATTTAATAATTTGAAAAGCAATTAAAAATCCCCTTCATAACAACACTTGACCCTTCAGTCATGTTTACTGGGGATGAAAATACTGTATTTGTTAATTGATACTAGGGCTAGGGGCAGGGCTTCTTCCTTCCACAAGGCTGCTGAGCCCTCTCAGTTCAGGCCGGTCTGTGAGGAGACTATCCTAAAAGGCTGGTAACATCTGGCGATGGGGGTGTTGTCTGAATGCCTGTCCATTACAGACTGACCTGAAAAGAAGCATTTTCCACTGTTACTGATATTTCTGTATCTCAGTCCACCAGTCCAGAACGAATGGGCTGTGCTCTTAGTCAAGATTGATGAGTGCAGTGGTTAATAAACACTAATGATTCCTGGCACTTTCCCTCTGCTCTTCCTTATCCTGACATGGCCTCTTCAGCTGAAGCATCTTGCGTTAAATTACTAATGAGCAAACTTAAACCTAACTGGAATTAATAAAGTTAGTCAAATTAGTTCTTTCTGCTGCAAGCACCATTAGAACAAAGTCCTGCAGCACAGTGGCTCCCAGACACAATAACAAATCATTAATGGCTACAGAATCCCACGGAAAGCAGGCTCCACAGAGCCAACCCACTGCTGTCCCAGTGAAAGAACAGAGAGGGAAGGCACACAAACTGTACACTGAGCCAGTGCACAGCAATACCTCTAAGGTGCTTAGTAAAAGTCCTCCCCGAAGCCTCGTTTTCTTGGAGAACAAATGAATACAAATTGCCAAAGAGCAAGAAGCTCTCCCAGCCATATAGGCTTTAGTTAGCATGGAAGATGAGGCTGTTCATGGCCCACACATCGTGACCCAAGGAGACCCTTGGCCTGGCTGCATAATGCACCCAGCCTGCAAACTGTACAAGTTCTGCCAGTATCAAGCATGGGCATGTATTAGGGAGTTTCTTTCTTCCTCTTTCCTTCCAGTATTCTGTCTAGGAAGAATTCATTAGTGCAACAAATACGAAACTTAAATGTAACCTGCCTTACAAAGGCAGACACCATCTCCTACAGTGAGGAAATGGCTGCAGAATAAAAAGACAAATTGCTGCATATTGGCCAGAACAATCATGACCTAAAACCAAACTGTCACAAACCCAAGGAGGAAGGGACCGAAATGCCAGGGAAACAAACACAGTGTCAGTTCTCTCAATTAGATTCAGATTTCAGCGGGTGTATCACACTGCCTAAAACAAGGCAAAGTTTTGTACACATAAAACCACAGGATGTGTCTCCCTCGAGAGCGCACCCAGAGCAGAAATAAACTCACTCAACCCCCCCTCAAACTCTGAATATACTCCAGAGATGAACTCTGAGAACATAAAGGCAGGAGCAGTTATGTTCAGCAATCTCTTTTAACTACACAGCACCTGTCACAAGTCTCTATCAAAGAAAATGTCTACACCTGCACGAAGCAAAGACCTTTGTCATGACAAGAGAGAAAAGCAGACAGAGCACTGGGCTTGATCAGCAAACCACAGGTAATCACTTCTTACCAGGCAGGTAAGGAGTACATTCATTATTATGGTGCTTGTTAAGATCCTACAAGAAAATGAACAGCAGCTTTGATTTCTAGCTATGTATGAAAAGAAAATGCACCTGCTTTAAGAGGCATTTAAATGCATCTTTTAGCTGGCTGGACACAGGCTTGAGAACCACTGAAAAGAGAATGAACTTGGAAGAACAGCTGTTCCCTGGATAATCAGAAAAATGGGCTCCATCTAGTCCCTGGAAGAGGGGTTTATGACAGCCAGGTGTATGCTTCTGGTAGGCACAGATAGGCTGGTGTGAAAGATAATTCTTGCCACATTCAAAACCTTTTAATGGAGGCCACTACTGGGGACTACAAATAACAATGCTGAAGTATCTGTTTGGACCAGAATAGCTGATTATGAAATGCTGGCAATGTCTACCTTCAAGAAAAGCCAGGAAACAATCATACTCTGGGTCTGATTATTTTTCCCCAGCCAGGATTCAAACCAGTCTTTGATTAATTTCTCTTATAAATCGCATTCCCAGCACTTCTGCTAGAAAACAAATCACAGGGAGTGCAACGTTTGGAAATTACCATACCACTATCCCTGCTTTGCAGACAGGGAATCGAGGCACACATCAAAGCTGAACTTGTGACCAAAGCCCACCACCAAAAAAGCCTTTTCAAAGGATATGAGGTGCTCTGGGTCATACATGCTCATTCCTTGGAGCACAGGCAAATTGGCCAGTGTCACCCAAGTGGAAAGGCTAGTAACAGACTACAGATCTTCCAGCCATTTGGTCTATGCCATAACTAGCTGTGCCTGCAAATAGAGAGAAACAGAGGTGTAAATGTGAACTGCTGGAACAAATCCACATCCACAAAGAGGGCAGCAGCCTGACAGAACAGGCTTCAGGGCGAGTGCTGCTGGTCAAGTGGAAGGCAGGCAATTGTCCCAGGTAATAAACTGGTTCTTTGCGGCTGGTACCTTTCAATCTCGGATACAAATCCCATCCTTCAATTCCTGATCGGGGGAATCCAGAGAAGCAGGACATCATTTCTGCTAAAATATGAGCCCGCCTTCAAACAATCACGACATGAAAGGGAACAGGCTGGTGTTTCTTGCCCATTAATCTGCTCCAGCCCTTGACAACACACTGGTGACACTCCATCAATCATCTTTCTGTGCACTGCCATGTAAAAGAGGAGGGGGGAAGGCGAAGGGCATTCAGCCAGCTGGAGAGAAGCAACATATAACATAGCTTCAAACTATACTGATGCAGTATCTTTAATCACTAAAATAAAAAAAATAAAAAAAACCCCAAACAAACAAACAACAAAACTTAAAACTCTCCTGAACACAAGAAACACTCCTCAATAGGCCAAGGGCAGGCAGGAGTGTGGTTTGGTAAATCCAGGCTAAAGTTCAAGATAGGTCAGAACAAAAGATATATCCTAAAAGTTAACTCACTTGTGGATAGCTCAGCGAGGCAAAGGAGAAAAGGGTTGCAACAATAAAAGCTGAAAAAATGGGCCTGTAACATGACAAGACTACATCGCCTTCCTTCCCCACAGGACACATGGCAAAATCAGGCTGTTAGGTGAGATCAAGGATCTCCTCTGTGCTTGAAGGTATGTGTTAACAATAATGTTAGGGGGGACGGGCAGAATTGATTAATAATATGCTGAGCTTAGTCAACTTATGTGATGTTGTTTCCCACAGTCCCAAGTGACTGGACTTCCACAGATGAGGAAACCTCTGTTGTCCTCTGCTCCTTCCTGCATGCAAATGGCTCCCTGAGGGCACCAACTAGTGCATTTCTGAGATGGTACCTCCTGAAAATTTGAGCACGAAACCACTCGAATAATAAAAGCTAAAACAAAACAAAACAAAACATCCTTTACTGCTGCTTGTTCACAAATGCTGAAGTTTCTCAGGGCCTACAGCTGAGACTTCAGTTTTCCTTTCTGGCAGAGAGCAAAGCAGATCCTGTGCAACACTCGGCAACTTCCACTCATCTCAGCCTTTGAGACAACCTAGTGAAGGTCACAGTGTGTCCCTGGACAGTGGCTTTGAGGCACTGAGCAGTTGGCCAAATCAGTGCTTTGAAGCTCTTTAACCAGAAGACCACTCAAACAACAAAAGATCTGTTGGCTGGGTTAGACCACGTCACAGATTTCACTTGCAACCAAACAAAAATTATGTTAGT